CCGCCAGGATTTGTGGATCCAACCTATCCCAATTATGTATGCAAACTCAACAAGGCAATATACGGTCTTAAGCAGGCACCACGAGCTTGGAACTCGAAATTTTCTTCATATCTGAAACTTCTGGGTTTTGTTCAAAGCAGAGCTGACTCTTCTTTGTTTATTCTCAAGACTGGCCGAGAGTTTGCTTACCTGCTTCTGTACGTCGACAACATCCTCCTCACTGCCTCAACATCTCATCTCCTCCGTCGCATTATTGATAAACTCAAAACGGAATTTCCGATGATAGATTTGGGAAAACTACGTCACTTTCTTGGCATCAAGGCGGATTTCAACGCAAAAGGCTTATTCTTGTCTCAATCTGTCTATGCTGAAGATATAATTAATCGAGCTGGCATGACGGATTGAAAACCTCTTGCTACACCGGTGGATCTAAAATCGAAACTCTCAATCGATGATGGTGAACCGCTTAAAAATCCTACCTACTATCGCCAACTAGCAGGTGCTCTCCAATATCTCACTTTGACTAGACCGGATATTTCATATGCTGTTCATCAAATTTGCCTCTATATGCACACGCCTCGTCAGCCTCACCTTCATGCTCTCAAACGCATCATCCGTTATATCAAAGGCACGCTCCACTACGGGATTCAAATGGTTCGTGGTCAGATAGATTCGCTTACAGCCTACTCAGATGCAGATTGGGCTGGGTGCCCTGACACACGACAGTCAACTTCAGGTTATTGCGTCTTCCTTGGTCCCAATCTCATCTCATGGTCAGCAAAGCGACAGAAAACACCCTCACGTTCTAGCTCCGAAGCCGAGTATAGAGGCGTCGCCAACACTGTTGCCGAGCTTACTTGGATACGAAACCTCATGGTAGAGTTGCATCGTCCCATCAAGAAAGCCTCCGTAGTTTACTGTGACAATGTCGGTTCGGTTTACCTCTCCACTAACCCGGTTCATCATCAACGGACGAAGCATGTTGAACTCGATATACACTTCGTTCGTGACAAAGTTGCAATTGGAGAAGTCAAAGTGCTACATGTTCCCACTTCGCTTCAATACGCTGATATTTTTACGAAGGGTCTCCCGACATCGCTACACAATGAATTTCGTACCAGCCTCACCGTTCTTCCGACGATGTGACTGAGGGAGGGTGATAGACATCAAATATATTCTTGTTACACGATATTAGGATTCGGTTTATATTGTTTATATTGTCCATGATTATGGGGATACTCTCCTGATTTTGTGTAACCTCTAAAGCTATATAAAGCCATGTACATACGATGTTAATGATCAAGGAAATACACAAGCTTTCAATAATTGTAAAATTAAAATATTATTATTTTTTGTTTTTTTAGAAATCTTATAGTATACCTACGTTGGGGGTGCTCTAAGCGATCACCATTTTGTAAATTTCTATCCATAATACTGGTGTTGCCTATATATATTCACTTTCTTCTTGACCCTAGAAGATTGGAGAGAATTTAGAAAGAGACGTACCTTCACGCCATCCCACAATTTCACACTCGTCATTCCCTGAATTATAAGATAAACAAGATTCTCTAGATGTAAGTTAGATGGGAATTTCTCAACTGCTAATAGGTTTAGGGTTAGCTCTGAGATGTTGCTTGATAAAGCAGGAAAAATCTTCAAACGTGAGCATCCATTGAGAATAAGGTGAGAGAGAGATTTGAGGTTGATATCAGCAGGAAGAGTCTCCAAATTATGGCACCCTAACATGTTCAAATACGTAAGTTTATTGAGATTCCCAATAGTGGAAGGAACCTCAACCAAACTCAAGCAATAGCCAAGAGACAACGTCTCTAGACTTGTTGCTAGCGAGAGATCTGGGAACTCTTTCAGGTTTTGAGATCCAAACAAATTGATAGTCTTGAGGCATTGAAGCGGCTGAACCAAAATCAAGAAACAAAAGCAAAGTATAAGTACATTGAAGGGATTCTTAATTTTGCAACTAATATAACAACTTACCATTACTCCTTCCCACAACTTCTCGAGCTTGCTCCCCGGCATTATAAGTTTAACAAGATATTTAGGAAAAAATTCAGAAGGCATACATCTCATTGGAAACCTTTGCCAACTTAGTAATCTGAGTGTATTGGGTAAATAGGTGAATTCTTTGGGTAAGAGCAATCTGTCTTCTTTTTCTGATATTTTTGTATTTGTGTAAAGTTTTAGAAAACGGAGATTACGCATTCCTTTGAAGGCGTCTACATGTAGATGCAACTCATCAATCTCATCTATATCCAGTGATATACCTAAGACCTTTTTTGTACCCTGAAATATATAATATTAATAAAAAAATATTAAATCTTCGCTTAACAATGCAAATAGCAAGTTTATCTTATAGAGTTACTTATGATTTATGAAAGGAGTACAAAGAACTTACACTGCAATCATCTAGGACATCGTAAATATCCTTCCCATCCACAAGAAATTCTCGTTTTCTAGGATCATCAACAGACTGTGCTCGAACAATTTCTCTACCTGTTTCTTGTAACAAACAGTGCATCTCCACAGTTTTCTGCTTTGGTTTTATACGTATGAGGGATTTATCGACAAGGTTTATAAGCCCGTTAGTGACATTCAAGCCACTATCTGCAAGCAGTTTCTTGATGTCACTGCATGTCTCAAAGTTAAAAATACATGCGATATGACGAAATATCGCTTGATCATCTTTGCTATCCAACCCGTCGTAGCTGACTCTAAGTGTTTTCTCAATTTTCCCGTCTAGTTTATTACGAAGCCCCGGCATCATTTCCATCCAAACCTCCTTATTCCTACCCCGCAAATAAGAACCCAAAATGTTGAGACCCAAAGGAAGACTCCCTGCACGTTGTACAACTTCATAGGAAAGCTCTATAAAACCATTGGGTGGAGAGTTTTGCCTAAAAGCAGACCGACAAAACATCTTAATAGCAAGGTCTTTTGACGGGAGAAGAACCTCATAAATATGATCAATCCCATAAGCCCTTAAGAGATGCTTATCTTTTGTAATCACAATGATTCTACTTCCATGCCCAAACCACTGAGTTTGACACGCCAAGGCTTCTAGCACCACTTGATCATCCAAATCATCAATAAAGATAAGAACCTTCATGTTCTTCAGCCTCTCTTTCACCGCATCTAGGTGATTTATCTCCAAGTTTTTTTTGTCTAAAAGTTTAGACAAAAACTTTTCTTGCAAATGCAACTTCAGGTTATAGTCGTCCGGGTTGGCTCTACTATAAATATCCATACTCTTAGATATGAAAGCTCGGTCTATAAAAACTCTACCTTGAAAGTGACGATAGAGTCGATTGAATAAAGCTCTTGAAATGGTTGTCTTGCCAATTCCCGTAGGACCCCATATACCAACCATCCTCACTTCCTGAGATTCCAAGCACAACAATACACTCAGTTCTTTGATATGCTCTTCGATGCCAAAAAATTCGTCAAAATCTTTGGATGGTGTTAACTTCATCAATTTATCCAAAACATTATTCGCGATTTCTTCAATCAATTTTGCTTCGTCATTCCTAACAAGAAAAATCATGAGCAGTCAAATGCCAAGAAGGAACATTTATTCAAGATATATAAACAATATTAATGGGAATAAAAATCTCTTACAGTTTCCCAGTATGATATCCAGCAATATTTGCCACATTGGTCAACGCTTCACGCCAACGTTGTATCTCATCCTTTGTTCTGTTCTTGCAAGTCTTGTCAAAAGACTCTCCAAATTCTCCCTCTTGTTTCCTAACATCAGAAGGATCCAAATCGTAGAAAATTGGTATCACAATTTGTTCCTGGCATTTCACAATCTCTAACAACTCGTTCAAACACCAGCTGGAAGAAGAGTAGTTTTTGGAGAACACAATCACCGCGATCCTCGAATCCTTTATCGCCTTTATAAGCTTGGGACCAATTGAGTGGCCTCTCTCAATCTCATTGTCTTTGAAAGCAATGATCATTTTCCGGTCTAGCTCCTTGAGAAAGTGGGTGAGGAAAGTTACACGGACATCTTCCCCACTGAAGCTCGTGAAAACGTCATAAACCCAGTTACGAGAAGAAGAGGATGATGAATAAGCCATTAGAATCTTTTTTTTGGAAGGAACGATCTTGAGAAGAGAAACACAAGAGGAAAAGAAGAAAGTCAACGACGTCCGTTTTCTCTGCACGAGAGGGAATGAGTTTAGTTAGTCTTTGAAGACTTTTAAGTAACTTATTAATCTAAATGTTCTCATATCAATGTTTGATTTATTTTTCTACCAATAATTGGCTTTAATAAAATGAATCCAAGTCGGATCCGGTTTTGTGTTATCTTTTTTTTTTTTTTTTTTAGGTATTTTATTGACAGGCTCGTTTTATTAGTTTTCCACTTTGAAGGTGGAAGAAAAATGCGGGAAAATTACTAACATAATGATATAAAAGTTTTTGTTAAAAATGTTAGTGATAATTGAGTTTAGTCTTATATTATTCTATATAACATATTATTGAGTGTGTTGTAAAGTCAATCGGTATGTGTTAACCGTGACTTTGTTACGAAAGGGTGTGTGTGTAAGAGTTTTGATTTGTTGGATAAGACACAACTGTTACGAACGGTTATGACCGTAAAACATCTATATAAGTGTATGTGTGTTATTGTAAAAAGTTGTCGAATAAAAATAAAAAAGTTTCATATTCAGTTAAAAGTTCTTTCATTTATTTTTCTTCTTTAAGGAGAAGAGATCATTATCTCTTACTCTGTTTCTTCAATTTTTCAATAAACCAACAAAAAAATGATATTAAAAGAAAAATCAAATTGCATCACTAAATTTTAAAATAACAAATTATTTTCAACGGTATCAAATAAGGTTAAATTTTTTGACTAAAAAAAAAACTTGTGTCAAAGTAGTTGTTGTGAAACTTGGATTTATCTTTTCATGTAATTAACCGGTTCGATGGCGATCATATTCGTTTTTTTCATTGTCACATATCGTGTTCACCTTCTATCCTGCATATGTATAATTTTGTTCCAAAAAATAATGCAGTAATATAAAGTGGTATAAATGAAGAGGTATCGTCATCAGAACAGGCTAGTAATTAATGAAAAATCACCAGAGATTTTACACATAATTTAATGGACTCTCACAGTTCATCCTTGGACGTTTCTGCTTCCCTTTGTTCAGATGATGCTGATTCTGATGTGTCTTGGTTTGTCTGAATGAAGTTATAAATGTCTTCCTTTGATAAGTGTCCTTGGTATTTAAAAATCATCCCCCTCGCGGATTTGAAGTACAATGTTGGGTAACTTTTAACTTCAAATTTTGTCACTTGATAATCGTTTGATGTTGCATCCTTGATCAAAAAGATCACAACGTTCTCACTTATCGTCAATGAGAATCTATTATGGATTGGTTTCATATGTGAATCAAATATAGATTAGAATCTTACCATTTTAGCAATAACAACATTTGTATTCTTCTTTAGTGAGAGGGCGATTTTGTCCAAGATTGAAGCTACCTTCTTGCATTGTCCACACCAAGGTGCGTAGAACTCAAGCAATACTGCATTTAAAAAATAAACTTATTACAAGAAATCCAATTCCGTGCCCGGTTAATATATACATATGACAGGCGAGACAAAGCAGTGGTAAAACAATTAATCGTAGAACAAAATCATATAAGAACATAGCACACCATTTTTTGGCGAGTTGAGAATGGTGTCTTCGAAGTTGTCACCGACAACTACTTTAGCCTCGTTGTTTTCCGTAGGGATAGGTTCAGATTTCTTATATGCTGAAACTTTTCCATCCTGTAGCATTATTGTATCACAGCTAAGAAAATCATTTACATATATAGCAAGCTCGTTATGACAAAAAAAAATTGCATGACCATTGAGAATTTTAATCCGCGGTTTATGTATTGGCGTAAGAAACTATCTCACTTTAAAGTTATTCACCCACGCTGCAAGCTGATCGGGCTCAAGATTAGGTTTCATGTACTTCTCTCCATCTTTCTTTTGGATAATGATAAGTGGTACTTGGTCACTTCTCAGTCCATAATACTTGCAACATTTAAAGTATTTACATGTCAGACAACTCAAAAGAAGTTGGCTAAGAATTAAAAAAAGAAGAGTTCAAGACAAGTAAAACATTGACCTGAAATGCCCCTTCAGTATTCTCAGCATCACCTAGTAAGAAGCTAATTCCATCTCTCCTATACTGCTCAGCCACTTCGCGGAAATTGGACCTGAATGTATCGGCTAACTCACCACTGAAATTCATGAAAAGCATTGCCTACAATTTCAAAAATATCCTTGATGAGTCACAATATCATATCCTGTAATTGCACATCTCTTTGACTAGGAAATACACTACAAGAAAACAGGCGATTTGCGAGGGACGAATTCCTAGGTAATTCCTCGCAAATCGTCTTTTGCAAGGGATTTGCGACACATGTCACTTCCTCGCAAATCAGACGCAATGTGTGAGGAACTTGTGCGGTAGCAAATAAGTCGCAAAGACTGAGTAGTCAATCCCTCGCAGACATTGCGAGGAGTTTGCGATGTTTTTTTCCATCGCTCTGTGTGACCCGTACATATTTTGGTGGACCATCCAATTTGTTGTTCCTCGCAAATTTCCCTCGCAAAATTCCCTCGCAAATCGCCTGTTTTCTTGTAGTGATAGAGCAAATCATAAGAATCCTATTAGTAACTATTAAGTTGGCTATTAAGCTTCATGAGCTTTCATCAATTGGCAATGAGTTAATTGGTTCATGTCCTTATATACTAGTGTTGGTCCCTTCTAACTTTGAATGTGTGGTCCTAAAGTAAACTAGTCCAAAGCGAGCTAGAGAAAACATTTAAATAAAAAAAGGTACATTATCTTGCCTTTGTGTTTGTCGAGTTAAAGAATTTTATGACATATGGATAGTTATTTGGGTCTTTGTCAAAGACAGTGACTACCGGAATGCTAGCTTCTTCTATAAAATTCTCCATGGCATCCACTTTAAAGTCCTGTAAGTGTGGCATATAATTTCAAGGACCATAACAATAAGTAGATAGTAAATGACATAATTGACTTTTCCACATTACCATGAAGTCAACAAAGAGTTCATCAAATGGTTTGAATAGCCTAAGAAAAGGCCTTGTGTAAGAATACTCCCCGAGCGGAAAAAGTTTGACATCCAACGTATGGCCAAATTCATATTTCGAACGTAATTTCTCAGCAAGCACCATGAAGTTTTCAAACTCTTCACCAGCCAATTCATGAAACACTCCAACCTACAAAGCCACAATTAAATTGGTGATGCTAGCTTTGAAAAAATTGTTGAAGATGGATAGAGAAAACAAAGGCATACAACAACGATTTTCTTATCGCCTATTAGGTGAGAAGCGTCTTCTGTTGACTTAATATCTAAAGAAGCCGGACCACTCTGCTTCTTGACATAATCAACAATGCCTTGTGCATCAAGAGAACCTTTATAGTCTTGAATGACTTTGCCTCCATCTTTAAAAACTTTGAGAGTAGGGAAAGCTTTGATCTCATATTGGCTTGTGATCCATAGGTTCACTTCATTGCTTGAATCCACTATAGCAAGAGGAATTGGTGGATCAAGCCTGCTCAGGATTGAAGCAGCCTTCTCATACTGGCATACAAAAGCAATGACATTTTATATCCGGGAGAGACAAAGTATTCAAGTAATGGACATATAAAAGTTTTACCTCGGCATAGAGAGTTTTACAGTGGCCACACCTAAAATGTGACATGGTCAGTATAACTCAAGGAAAGAACCAACCAAGTGTTACTTATGAACAACTAGTATTTGAACAAAATATTGATCATGTACAAGTAAACACATCACGTAAATCATACTCGGTTATTAACTACTAAACTAGTCTTTAATTCAGAATTTCCTCACCCATCAAATATAGATATCAAATGAAAAACATGCCAATTTCCTATGCGAACAATTGTTCAGAAATTGTCGAGGAATGTTTAAATTTTATTTAATTTTGAAATAAAATTTATTTAATTTAATTTCCGTCGACATGATTTCCAAATTTCACTAGTTTACCTATTGGCCCTTGCAATAATGTTTAGCTTGTAGTTTACGATTAAATATCAATGTTACTTGAAGTTAAACCAAATCAAGCAAGACACATACCAAAAACAAAGGAACCATGGAAAAAAAAGATTAATATGATGCCTACCAAGGAGCGTAGAACTCAACGACAATGAACTTTTGTCTGCTGACGACAGCACTGAAGTTACTAGACCCAAGCGTTAACACAAACTCTTTGGCAACGATAGGAGACACCGCGAGGCAGAAACTTAAGACGTAGAACCACATTCTTAGACACCGCGCTAGTTCTCTGCCTTGCTCTCCATGTGTATTTCTAGTAGTAGGCGGTCATGTTCACGTGAAGAAACTGTATGATACTTTTAGAGATTGTTGAGATACATCATTTTGAGTATTTCTTTTAGTGGGTGGTGTTCTCGTGAGTCAAGAAGAAGCTTTATGAGTTTTGAGGCAGTAGTGATACAACAACGAGACGTGTGTGCTAAATTAATCGTGGAAAATATATAAGGGTTGATCCGTGAACGTCTAGGCTTGGATTAGGAAGAATTATTTTCTTGACTTTGTTGTTTAATAGACTATAAATTATCAAACATTTTTATAGGATCATCACCAAAGATCAGCGATGTGATTCACGTGAACTTCCGAATATTTGTTTAGGCAGAAAAAGGGACCGTTCATTTATATTTGAACCAATCTTTAGCAACGATTGGGTTGATGAAATTATTTTAACTAAGATTAATCAAGTTTATACAAACAATTTATATCATTTTTCGAAATCAGACAACCAAATTTAGCTAATTTATGTGCTGTTTTCATTACAACATTTCGTAAAAAGAAACTGAATCTCTTTCAAATTTCTTAGACCGATATGATATGTCTTGCCATAAACTTGCTACAGAGATGTGACGAGCCATTGATCATGTTGATAAGCACCTCGCAATCTCCTTCAAAAATGACCGAAGTGAAGCCCTTTACCCTGACTTGTTGAATTGCTGATAGTAATGACTTGGTTTCTGCCTTCAATATAACAAACTTATTTCCATAATCTGGCTGATGCCCAGGTTTTGATATTAATTTTAGATGAAAAATACAAATTAGCCATCTAAGCACTAGTCAGTAAAAAAAAAAGGTTTCGGATGAAAACGTGACAGTATCAAAGGTAAGGTCTTTAAGTTTTAGGGTTTCTATCGACTATGGAGAAATATCAAAGTGAAATCATAGTATGCTCTTGGTTGGGAAGCGAGAAGACAAGGGAACGGTCGCTAGCTAAGGATGCGGATATGAGATGAGTAGATCTCAACAAAGAGTCCTTTGTCGAGCTAGAGAAGTACAGGTTCGATGTAAGGACTTATAGCTGAACAAGAGTATGAGCACAACAACACTCGTCACTTGAGTTTATTTATGTTTTTACTCAATTCAAGACAAAATTTGCATGGATTTTGGATTATCGCTTCCGCAATTTATTACAAGAAAAACATCAGAAAGCCCAAAACCATTGTGGAAGTCGAAACTAACACAATCGAGATTTGTCTAGGGTTTTATTTTAGGGATACGATTTGCAAGAATTCTCAAAGAACAACAGAACGAGTAGTAACCAATGATGGTGTTCTTGATTTTATTGATGAAAAAAGTAGCTTTGATCGTACAAAGAGTTAGATCGCAAAAAGAAAAGTGTTTTTGTTTCAGAGCATTGTGTAGCCTAAAATCTTGAGCGTTATTGCTTGTTCTTCTGTGAGAGCCTTGAGTTGCTTTATATAGGGGTGGTAAACCGCCTCTCCAGCGATATTCTCGGAAGATTTCCATTTATCTTGAAGTCGGCTTAGAATATCGCGGATTAGGATATTTTTCTTATTCTTCGGAGTTTTTGGTAGATTTCCTGATTTGAGTTGATCATTCGAGATTCTTTCTTATCATTTCCGAGTATTTCAGAAATGATCCTTCTTTTTCGGAAATGATGCCATCCTACACAGAAATGACACTTTGGAGGTGAATATTTACCAAGTCTTTGCCTCGGGTTCCTCGGGTGACTCTGAAGACTTCTCCTCGGGTGACTTTGAAGACTTCTCCTCGGGTGACTCTGAAGACTTCGCCTCGGGTGACTTTGAAGATCTCGCCTCGGGTGACTTTGAAGACATCCGCCTCGAGTGACTTTGAAGATCTCGCCGCGGGTGACTTTGAAGACTTCGCCTCGGGTGACTTTGGTTGGGAAGCGAGAAGACAAGGGAACGGTCGCTAGCAAAAGATGCGGATATGAGATGAGTAGATCTCAACAAAGAGTCCTTTGTCGAGCTAGAGAAGTACAGGTTCCATGTAAGAGGACTTATAGCTGAAAAAAGAGTATGAGCACAACAACACTCGTCACTTGAGTTTATTTATGTTTTTACTCAATTCAAGACAAAATTTGCATGGATTTTGGATTATCGCTTCCGCAATTTATTACAAGAAAAACATCAGAAAGCCCAAAACCATTATGATGATTCCAACGTGAAAACGATCAACCAAATTGTACCGCAAAATCCTTTGAACAGCCAGAAACATTGTCCAAAAGATATCTCGAAAAGTACTCCTCGTTGCTTTTCTTCTCTATCATTATTAGACTACGTTTCTATATCATAAGTCCTGCTAGAGGTTAAACATCGTGACCATTTGAAATTTTGAATGACGACAGCAAAATAAATATGAAGAAGAAGAAAGCTTACTGGACTGAGTAAATTAGGTGCCCCATTAGATAACGATACCCTACACAAAAGATTCAGATTATTCAGTTCTTAAGCCCCTGCAGATTCTTTCATCAATGGAGACTCCTCCAATGCCGAAAAGATGATATCTATCTATTCTAAACTAACACCATTTTAGGTTTTCTATAGCTCTAGATTCGCCAGGTTTGTACATTTTCTTTGTGACAAAAAGATTGATTTCAAGGTCGTTTTTCGTTAAAGATGATAAGGTCAAGAGTTGATAATGGCTTTGATGCAATTCACATGGCAGAAATCTAAAGAATGCATACCTCAGATGGGTCAAATTTTGCTCCAAGATTGCTGAGCTTCGCATGGGCTACAGCGTAATCCTTGAAGAATGCATCCTGATCGGCAGCATACTTCTCAGCATAGACCTGGAATTGCAATGCAGTTTCAGTTTTAAAGGCAAAGACTCAGAAACTTTCTTCGAATTGATATGTTTCAACCTCGGTTTGTTACCTTGAAAGAAGAATCTTCAAAGATGGCAGCATCAGTGGGTAGGACAAGGAGATCTTCATCTCTCTTTTCCTTGATTTCCTGTTATCATAATTATATTAATAGGACATCAAAATCGAAAAATTAAGACTTTTATTACAAAGTGTGAAGTAAAAGTTATCTTCTGAAAATGCAACCTTGAAGTAAGAATTGTCAAACTTCAGCCACTCTGGAGTCCATGACTGTCCTCCTGGTGCCCCCGGTCCCTCTTTCTGTAATACGAAAAAAACACAGTAAGAACTAAACATTCGAAATATTCTATTCCATTAACGTTCTGCAATCCCAAACATGACAATACGTAATAGAACTGGATAATACCGTGTATTTCGTCTCTGGCTTCCCCCAACCACTACGTTCTGGCCTAGATCTTCCTAACGTGTGAGCACCAGATAATGCAACTATGTCCTGCACTTACAAAAATCTTTCAATACGGATCATTTTACTTATTGATCTTCCATAACTACAAGAAAAATTCAACCACAATCACCTTGTCATTTAGTCCCATTCTGTAAAAAACTTCTCTAAGATGATTAGCAGGTGAAGGAGGACCAGCGTCTATAGAACAAACATACGATATTTGTAATCAGTAAAACTTTAATACAAATAATATAACCAAAGAACATCCAAAAACACCAGTAAATGAAGAAACTTTACCAGGGAGCCTTCCTTCTTCAGGACAATCCTCAGGACCAGACGCATCAACTCTTCCATATTTCATCGGTATTTTAGGTCCTCCAGCTTCCTAAAATTTCCAAAACTTAGGCAAATCTTTTCATAACCACTAAAAACTAGGTTAAAAACTAACAACCTCACCTCTATAGCAGTAGCACTAGCCAATTGGAATAAATCAGCATAAGTGATCCCAGAGTACTTCTCTTTGATATCCTTAATCAAGTTTAAAGCATTCACAAGACCTAAAACAAGTAACAAACAAAGCTTATAGCAAACAAACACAAGTAAAAGCCGCTAATTCGTATTCGTATAAAGTGATATTATACCAGCATTAGCAGCATGCTTAAGCTCAATCTCAAATCTCAAACTTCCATTAGCTCCACCTCTCTGTGGCCATTCCTTAATGTTCTTATTGTATGTACCAGCATCATGCCACCCTAAGCGAACCTATGATTCAACACAACACAACATAATATCAAAAAACTGATAAAACGATTCAGAGAAGGGATTGGTGAAATCAAACGAACCAAAATTGGATGGCAGAATTTGGTGTTGAGAAGCTCTTTGATATCTTCTCGAGCATTTTTTAACTGATCAGGATCTGAAGCTGAACAGTTAGTAGTTGCGGCGGTGGAGTTGAAGCTCCGATTCACCGACGAAACTCGATGTCTCTTCTAGAAATCCAACAGACGAATCAAAAATCAGATCGGATTATTTCGAAAATCAGGCTTAGATAGAAGGATATATATACCTGAGAAAGGGGTGAAGAAGAGAGAAGTGGAGAAGAGACGAGAGATCTAGCGAAGGAGAGAGAAGAGGACGCGGAGAGAGTGAGAGTGGATCTGGTGGAGGAGGAGGAGGAGAGGAGGAGACGAGAAGCGGCGGTGGTGGAACGGAGAGAAGAAGCCATTGTTGTTGTGGTGGTGGTTTTGGGAGGAGAAAGGAGGGTTCCGTTGAGTGTGAGAGACACACGCTCTGTCATTTTTTGGGGTATAATAGTAATTTTGGTTTTAAGAGTCGGAGGAAGAGATTAGCGGCAATGGATACGGCCACGACAGTTAAGGGTTTTGAGTTAATTGGTTCTCAACTTTGATTTCGCTTCTTTACATATTTTTCCAAGAGACTAAAGTTCACCTACCCACTTATGCACTAAGGCTTCTTTTTTTTTTATAAGAGTTAATTAGGTAGATAGATTGGAAATGTGTTGAAGGTTTCAATCTCACTTCGAGAGTTGCATCCCTATATATATCTCACCCAAAAAAAAAAGAGTTGCACCCCTAAAATCCATATACACAACAAATTGGCTTTTGATCTCTAATAAACATGTTTAGAACTAAACCATCACTTTTTTTTTGGGTGAATTTGTGCAGAGACAAAAACTGGACATGAAATTAGGCAATCGACAATATGGATTTTTGGTCTTCAACAAAGATAAATAAGTTAGATAAATGGGTTTGGAATTCAGTTTAATAACGAAAAAACCACCACTTGATTTGTCTCTGCGCGTGGAGAGATGCTTTTGACTTTTAAGGCATCGAAAGTACAACCTGACATGTAATAAATGTTCATCAGTGACAGAAATAACGAGGTGACAATTATTAAATGCAATCGACTTTGTTTGAACTTTATCTAATTTGAATCTGTAACGAAAACAGTTTTAAACGGGAATTGAAAAATGTAAACAACCAACATAGTTGTATGGACACCCAATAAATAGCTCTTCGATTTTTTTTAAACAACTAACCTAGTTGCGTGGACACCCAATAAATATTTTACACGATTTTGATATTTATATACAAATAGACAAATACATAGAGCGTTAGAAATAATTATAGTGTTCAAATTCGGTTTATGTGTACATGTATATACATATATATAGAGCGTTATTAACATTTATATACATGTAAACACGTACATGGAGCGTTATTAACATTTGTATAATTGTAAAACATGTACGTGGAGCGTTATTAACATTTATATACATGTAAACACGTATATAGAACGCTATTAACATTTGTATATATGTAAATACATATATAGAACGTTATTAATATTTGTATATTTGTATACACGCTACAGCCGACGGCTTACCGTTTCAATGATAATTATTTTTTCGGCGCTGCGTTTAGGAAAAGAAGCAATACTTTATATTTTTGTTTTGCCGGAGTGTGGTTGAACAGTTACCGGAAATGTTAAAGGCGGATAGGACTCATGGTTTACATAATAAATAGGCGGAATGATGAACAAGAGAAAAAGTAAACACCAAAGAGTCGGATAGTTATAACAACAAGGTAGATATAACATGCTTTATCATCTCGAGAACGACAAAAGTCAATGGTTTTGTCTCATACAATGAACTGATTCGGAGTCCAAATAGTTGAAGCGCGTAGGGTTAAAGTTGACAAAATGAAGGGATAATATATCATTGTTTTGAACCTTATGTCAGATTACTAAAAAACTAATTTACATCAGATCCATGATCTCTGACCCAATTATTTTTTTTTTTTTTTGGGGTGAATTAGCTTTGAAGGAAAAATAGGAAAGAAAATTAGAAAATAAGTATTAGGGATGTTTGTCCCCCACAACGTCCAAAAAAACGTTAAAAAAGGGTTTGGTTTTGTGAGTTATTACAAAAAACCTATGTATGTATTGTTACTGCGCGTGGGGGAGGAGAAACAAAATCTGACATTTAATAAATGTTCAACAGTTGAATTGACTTTTACTCGGCAACTGATAGGACGAAGTAACGGTTATCAAATGCGACCGACTTTAATTTGGATCTATAACAAAAACGTATGGCCGGAAATTAAAAATTTTAAACCACTAACTTAATTGCGTAGATATCTATTAATAAATTTAGCATGAAATAGTTCAAGTTATAACTCTTTGAAAGTGTATGGACATGTAGCTAAATTTATAGATAACTATTAATAGACATATTTATCCAAAAGGAACATATGAGACTTGTATCGTCCATCTCCAGAGGGATATTGCTACGCTTTGTAGATCTATATGTGGATATCCAAACATTGTTGTAGATCCTTATTTGTAACGTGAAAGTTGTCTCTTCCGGCGAATAAATTTACTATATAATTCTCTGATACGGCAGTATGAATAGTAACCGCGATGTTGTTTTCCTGCTCGGTTTGAATGAATTACAACAGAGTTGAGAGAAAAAGAGAGAGAGAGATGAACATAAAAAAAAAAAATAGACATCCAGAAATCAGAAATTCAAATGAAAACAAGACATCAGGTACGTAGGGTTAGTTTGGGGATAAAGATGAACAAAAATTATTGTTGTTTTAAGCATGTGACCATAATACTAAAAATTTTATTTCACTTGGATCTATGGTCTCCCAGCTAATTAACTCTTTTTGTTTTCCATAAACACAGGTTCTCTGAATATTTATGTTGATTATTTGAATTCTTATTTGAACGTCAATTTTTTTTTTATAGAAAAACTTTAGTTTTGTTCTCGCGAGGATCATCCTAACCATGTTTATGTTTAAGAAAATGCGATATTCGGATGAAATCCGAAGAAATGAGTCATCGTCATCTGACACGTTGCTGGAGAAAACGGCACAATCATTACCTTTATTTTCTCTCTTCTCTTTCTTCATGTAGATAAAAAATAGGGATATATATTAATTCAATTTTCATTTCGCCTCTTTAGGTAATACAAAAAAGACTTAAAAAGTTTACTTACCCACTTATGCTCATAGTTTTTTTTCTTTTTTGCTTAATTATATGAACTAGAAATGTGTTGAAGTAAGTCAGGCAATATATCTAGTTTCAATCTCAGTTCCAGAGCCCATGTACATCACTTTGGGTTTTGGATATCAATTAACCATATTTAGAACTAAACTACCATCCATGCTCTCGTAAAAACAGGTTATTCGAGCAGTCATGTTGATCATTTCTCATTTGAACGCCAAAATTTTTTAAGAAAAAAAAAACATTAATTTTGTTCTCTCGAGGGTCATGTTAACCATGTTTATGTTTAAGGAAAAGCGATATTTAGATGAAATCCGAAGAAATGAGTCTTCCTCATTGACAAGTTGTTGGAGAAATCGGCACAATCTTTGTTATTCTTTTCTCTCTTCTCTCTTCTGTTAGACAAAAATAAAAATCCATGATCTCTATTTTTTCTTTTTATCTATTTCATAATCGAGCTTCATCTTTAGAGACGGGACTAGACAACAAATCAAGGTGATCCTTATGTTATAGCAGATATGAGGCGTGGTGGGTCTACTATTTTGAGGTGAATCGACGTCTAGAGATGCCTTCCTCGTCAAATCGGTAACTAGTAGAGGACATCACTAGGATTTCAAAGGAGGCCACTCAAGGCTTGACCGGTTGGATCTCCAGTTACGGGTTCATAGCAGAAGTCGGGTAGTGCATCACGAGGGTTCTATCTCTGCGAGTCTAAAGCGGCTCACGGTGGGATCTGAGATGAATGGCTTTGGGTTAGGGCCGGTGCATGGGGGTTTGAATTGATTTCCGCCATATCAAATTGAAGCTGGTTAGGTTTTCAGGACGTGGGTGTGCGACATCTAAGGGATGGCGGAAGATAGAGCTGATGTTTTTGTGTTCTTTCTTTTTGCTAGGTGTAGATTAGAAGGTTGAGGGATTCAGTTTCTAGTGGTCGATCTCTTCTGGGAGAAGCTCGTAAGGATCATGTTTGTTGAAGTCGACTTGGACGGGTAGAACCAGTTACCCTAGTCAAAGAGCTAGATGTCGGCAATGTAGCTGCAAAGTGAGTTTCTTGTAACCGCCAGAATTCGCAATGGGAGACCCACGATTTCGTCCCTGGCCAGATTTTGATCTCTTCTCCATTTAGCCTTAGTCGAACTGTCCATCTCTTTTTTTTGAATCGGAATTTTCCGTTTATCGGCCCATTTAAGAGATGTTTGATAAAATATTTTAATGAAAAAGGGTTTTGTGCAAATAAACCCTTCAATAACTCGTCAGTTTTTGCAACTTTATCCTTCACCTCCCAAAAATGCAGATTAATCCTCCGTAGTCATAATTAATATGCAATATAACCTTTATACGTATATTGTAAACGTTTTTACAGTCACATACATTAGATTTTTAAAATTTAAAAGGTAGATTTGACTTTCTCGTCGCGAGGGTTTCGATTTGACATATTACTCATCAAAATTTTACAAACTTGATGGTAACGAAAAAGAGTTATATTGCATATTATTTTTGACTTCGTATATTTAATTTGCATTTTTTGGAGGTTTGACTAGTTGGAGGGTTGTTATGCACAAAACCTTTTTTAAAAAAAGAATTTGGCTTGGTTCTCTCTTTTCAGTGACTGAATAAGCCATTTGACAAAGGTCAACTCAACCTGAAGACATAAACTGATTCTTGAACCCGGTTAGGTACCAGTCTTCTATAAATACTCTTTTCACCACTAAAGTCGAAGGAAAGCTAAAATTAAGAAAAGAGTATATAAGGTCAAATTAAGGAGGATCAGTAGGCATAATCTTACGATCCACTGATCACCTCAATAACATATATGTGCCTAGCGTTTGCCCAATCATGGGCTCTTCATTATTCTTTCCAGGAGCATTGCAACTCCACCCCGGAAGCTGATCCATCTCTTAAATAATCTTATCAAACAAATAGATTAGACTTAAAATTATTTTAAAACATAGCACACAACACTACCACCATTCCTCCTCACGTTAAACCATATTTTGTTAACTCATTGTTCCATTATAACTTGAGCTGCGAATTCTTTGGGAGAACATACATATCTTTTTTGTCTTCCTATAGACTTTTTAAACCGTATTCTTTGACAGAAATGTGGCATCCAATAAATAGTTAAATGGATGGATCCTTCACTAGACGTGCATGAATCTAGCATGATTGACCCACACAATAAAAACAATTTATCCAACTCCGAACAAATCTACATGATCATGTATGAATGTTAATGCAACTAGTATTGCTTTCACAAAAATCGTTAGTATATTTCTTTTTTGTTAAAATATAAAATTCCTTCAACGAAAATGTAATCAGTAATTACA